ATTGCACCTCTGTGTGTTAGGCACTGTACTAAGTGTTTTACATGGTTGAGCTCATGAAATTTATATATATATAAATTTCTTAGGAGCAGTGACACCCTAATAGCAATGAACACAGCTAGTGCCCAGAACGTGGTTTCTAAACACTATACTCTGCACTGAAAGAAATCAGGGCTGCTTGGAGAAATGGCTGATACTGTGGCTAAGGCAAGGAAGGTAAGAGATGAGCTTATAACATCCTGTTGTGCCAGAAAGGAATAGAATGCTCAAAAAAACAATAGAGACATGTTATAAGGACACAAGTACCAACTTTAAGAGGCCCCACTGGCCAAATAAGGGGAATTATGAGCACCAAAATAAGTGCAGTAATGAATTAGAAAACATCAACAGAGACTAGCCAAGATGGCGTAGAAGGTAGATGCTGTGCACGCCTCCTCTCGCGACCACACCAAAATTATAACAAAACTACAGAGCAACCATCACTGGGAATTGTCTGGTTCAACAGAAGTCCTGCAACTGGGGACATATATAAAAGGTCACCTCAAGGCTGGTAGGAGGGGCAGAGATGAGAAACAGGCCAGTCTCACAACTGTATGTGGCGTTCTGGAATCAAGAGGCTTATTATGGCTGCAGAGCCCCCTCCCCACCCCAAGGAGCAAGGGATCCCAGCCCCACAGTGGGCTCCACAGCCCAGAATGCCAATGCCAGGAAGAGAAGTCCCCACAACCGCTAGATGTGAAAACCAGCAGAGATTGTGGCTGAGTGAGACAGAGGGTTGCGGGAGTCACAGATGTTCCTCATAAAGGTCCCACACTTGCACTTAATGACTGATGGACTCACTTACTCTGAGTTCCAGTGCTGGGGCATCAGTTTGAAAGGCACTCAGTTGAGACACTGAGTTTTCAGGCTTCAGGGTAAGGGCTGGAGGGGCTGTTTTCTCCCCGACAGAGGTGCTGGCAGTATCCATTGTTCCTTGGTTGAGCCCTCCCCATCCTGGTATGCCAGCATGGGCAGCTGCTATATCTGAATCTCCATCAACCTGGATAATAGGTCACTCTGCCTAGGTGTTTTCCTGAGACTACCTCTCCTCACTTGTGGGCTGACCCAAGCTTACTCCAGTGGATTATTCCATATAAATGGCCTGTCTTGGCTCATACTGTGGACTTTCCTAAAATTTCTCAAAGGCTCACAAAGTCAAAAGAAGCAGCATCTAGCCTCGGCATGTCCCATACCTCTTGCTGAGCAGCACCAAGCCTGGCACTAGTGGTAGCCAACCTTGGTTTCTGGCTTGGCCTCTCGTGGCACCTGTAAGCCCAACACGGGGGGTGGGGGGCAACTATCTGTGGATTGCCTGGTGACTCTTACCAAGTGGCTCTGGAAGTGCACAGGCTACAGCTGAACTTGGCCTGCAGCTGGACCCCTCCCAGGAGGCTCTTGGCCCTGCATACCCAGTGGCCAGCTTTGGCCAATAACATAGCTGGAGGACCACCCAGGGCCACATCTGAGGTGGACGCACCCAATGGGAAGACTGAGCAGGCACTAGAGCCCTGCTAAAGTGAATCCTGCTGCATAAAGTTAGCCCCTCACCAGCCAGTCCTCACAACCAATCAGCCCAAGGGTCAATCCCTATTATCAAAGTGCAAACAGCAATCAAGTCTCAACTATATCAGGAAGGCACATACGACTGACACAAGGGACAGATCTTGAACATCTTGCTCAGGTGACCAGGGAAGACTGTGCCACTGGACCCCACAGGACACCTACTATGTAAAACCACTATACTAAGACTGGGAGACTTAGGAGCCCTATGTAATACATAGAAAGAAACATAGGGAGGCAGCAGAAATGGGGAGACAAAGAAACATGTCCCACATGAAAGAGCAGAACAAAGCTCTAGAAAAAGAACTAAACAAAGTGGAAACAAGCAATCTACCAGATGCAAAGTTCAAAACACTGGTTATAAGGATGCTCAATGAACCTAAGGGAAGAGTAGATGAATTCAATGAGAACTTTAACAAAGACATAGAAAATATAAAAATGGCCTCCCAATTCTCCACTGCCATATGTGAATGTAGGGCCAGCCCATTTTGTGTCTCCACCCCTCCTACCAG